TCCCTGATAAAATGTTTGGAAAGTGCAAAGTGGGATAATCCAGGTGAGGAGTGCAAAGTGCTTGGTTAGGCTTGAGGGACCATGTTCAGCTGCTCAGGACCGTGGTGGCTGTGCTGCTCAGTCACCAGGCTTTTAAGGCAGCATTTGATTTTGGACATGGCTGTGTTAGCTTTACGTGAGCAGGAGGCAGTTTAGTAGCACACAGACCAGGGACAGGAATTTAATGTGTGGATTAAAAGTGAGGTATCACACGAGGACTGCCAGCAGGGAATGCACACAAAGAGGTACATGGGAAAGTCAGAGATGCAAAGACCTTGTAGAGGCTCCTTCATGGATGTGGATTTGTTAAAAATCATGTTGATTCCATCCATTTGAAGATTATTTTTTTTTTATTTCCCTGGAGCTCTATATTTTATCATCCCAGAGGCCTCATCTTCTGCAGTACCTTTTCATAAGATGCTGCTTGTTTGAGTTCTGGGAGTGTTGTCCTGTTTTATTTACGTGGTGGATTTTTTTTGCTCTGTTGAGTGTGGAAGAAGCTACTGGTCCCAGCTGCAGAGGTGTTGCTGGTGTCAGGATTGCAAAAGTATGAGTATGAAATCCTAAACAGATGTTCTCTCCTTTCCCTTCCCAGAGATATGCCACCATGGGAATCATTGCTTTGAACTTAGCTCTCCATATGTGCCAAGAGGTCAATATTGCAGGCTTTGGTTACCCTGGCAACCATGACACTACTGTGCCAATACAGTATTACAATAGGGGTTGCTCACAGGGAAAAAAAAAATGAGGTAGAAAATGCCTCCCCTTCAAACTAAGGTGTCCTCCATAGGGGAAACCTACTGGACAAAGCTGAGAGCCAAGCAGCTGAGAGGTCTGGTAGCTATCACTGGTGTTACCCATGGAAACTCCTGCTGGGACATGCCAGGGAAATGTGTTGGGACATGCTTTGTTCTCAGAGAGGAGCTTGGGCACCGATGCTGGCACCTTCAGGGTGCATTTCAGCTGTCCTAGTGTGGTGATGAGGGTTCTGTGTGGTGGAATTCCTGCAAGGGGCTGCAGGCAAGGTTAGACTAGGCAGGATCCAGTGCATTTTGGGCAGGATGAAGGGCACTATAAGGAATAATCTATAGCTTTGCCTCTCTTTCTCTTTGAGCACAATACCACTGCTGAGAGGAACTGGCTGCTGAAAACGATTGAGTTGGGAGTGATTGCAGACATAGCCAGCCCTTCTTTCCAGGCCCAGGACTAAGAGAGGGCTGTGCTGCTTGCTGTCCCCTCCACGCACCACTGATGATCCCAGCTGGGCTTTGCCCTTGGTCCAGGTTGTTTTGAGCAGGTCACAGTATGTCCTGTCACATGTGGGGTGGGAGATGAATCCCTGAGATTCAGAGCAATTGTCCTTTCCTTTGTTGGCCTCTGGTTTCCACTGCTGACTGCTGTGGTGGAGGGTGGAGTGTTGCACAACCCTTCTGCCTTGGGTAATCTCTCATGTTTTGTAATCGGCCATCCTGTGCTCCTCAGTTATTTGTGAAAAGCACTAAACTGAGATGTTAAGCTGGTCCTCAGCCCCTGAGAAAGGGAGAAGGTGAGGGTGCGATACCTGCCATGGGATTTCAAACTCCTTCCTACACAGGTTAGAGTGAGAGTCATACCCATCACTTTGGAAGAGGGACAAGTTGAACACTTGGGGTATCTTCAGTATCTCACTAGTTGTTGGGAAACATTAATGTCTGCAGGAAAAAAGAAATATTTATTTCATTGCTCTGTTTGAGATTAAATATACTGCTGGTTTCAAGGAGTTGGCACTGTCTTGTGGGAAGGGGATTTCTTGTCAGGACAGGTGAGAATTACCTTAGTATCTCCTCTGAGATCTTCTCATGGCTTTATAACCCCATGTAATTCCCTCAGTTGATTTTTTTTTTTTTTTCATCAGCATGCTGTCCAAAGGTTTCCATGTCTCTTCCAGCTTGTTCTAAGCATGGAGTCACCCTGCCAAGTCTACTTTGTGTGCTGAAAATTTTCCACATTTCAGAACTCCCACTGAAGAACCCTTAACCTCCCATCTGTGGCTGGCTCATGTCCACATTCCACCTCTGGGACCACATCTTCTCATCCCTTGCTGCTTCCTTCCAAGATGCAGCTATGTCATATTTCCCCTTCTTTACTTCTCTCGTTACTTTCTTCCCAGCCTGTTATCCCCATGGCTTCACTTCAGTTGCTGCCTCACCAAAATGCTGCCTCTAGCAGCAGAAAGAACCTACAGTGATAAACCTACAAGCTGATGGCTACGTTGGTACGACCACTTTGCCTCAGCCTCTTCAGCCAGGTCTTCATTGGGAAGAAGATCTCTGGGGAGATCTTATAACAGCCTTCCAATACCTGAAGGGGGCCTACAAGAAAGCTGGGGAAGGACTTTTCATAAGGACAGTTAATGACAAAACAAGGGGAAATGGGTTTAAGCTGAAAGAGAGTAGGTTTAGATTAGATATTAGGAAGAAGTTCTTCACTGTGAGGGTGGTCAGACACTGGAACAGGTTGCCCAAGGAAGTTGTAGATGCCCCCTCCCTGGAAGTGTTCAAGGCCAGGCTGGATGAGGCTTTGAGCAACCTGGTCTAGTGGAAGGTGTCCCTGCTGCTGGCAGGGGGGTTGGAACTGGATGATCTTTAAGGTTCCTTCCAATCCTAACCATTCTATGATTCTAAGAAGGCTCCTCCTGCATAGCTCTTTGAGGGCAAACTCTATGAATGGGGTTGGCTTAACTTACATCAGGATGCATCTGTCTTGCAGCAGCATTTGAGGTGTGGGAGCATTAGCACAGAACCCATATAACTGCTAACGCCTTCCATGGGACACGAAACTTCTGCATTCCCTCCCATTTCCTTCCTCCCTTGACTGTGGTCAGGCTTTCAGAACTCTTTCTCTGATATTCGTGTCACTCCTTTTCCTGGATAACTTCTCTTCTACTGTCTCAGCCCTGCCCCTTGAAAGCTTTCTGTTAATGCCCTGCCTGTCATGATCTGCAAAGTGTTAATGCCCTTCCTGTTGCCCCCACTGCTAATCTCTTTTGGCCAGCCTGGTTCTTCCTCCATTAGAGCCGAAATTGTTTTGTCCTGGTTAGTGTGTGCAATTCATGGACAAAGAAATGCTGACAACACCCCCCAAAAGCTGCCTTGCCCTGGGAAACTGGTTCAGCTCTGTTTGAGAAAGGTCATGTGAAGGCTGAGAGGGGATTACCTAATCTTGCACGTACAAATGAAACTGAACTGAGTTTGGGAGAAAAAAGGGTGTTTTAATAAATTCATCTTTATCAGCTAAATGCTGGCTTTGGGTTTACCCTGTGCACAAATAAGTCTTTACTCACTGAATAACACAATATCACCACACAGGTTCTGCAGATTCCAAAAATCCAATGTTCCAAATGGATGCAAATATGCATTTGGATCTGGCTCGATCACTCTTTTGGAATTTATTGCTTTGGAAATGGGCTCACAACTATGTAGGCAATTAATATTCTGTGTTCTTCTGGTAGAGTAAAATGACATAAAAATCTTAATGTCTAAAAGCTGATGCTTAAAGCATGCTATGAACTAATGCCAGAACATGGTTTACATTTTTTCTCTAGGTGACATGTATACAAGAACTTTGTCACAGCTTGCAGGAGCTGTGTCTGCACTTTCTGCCGCGGTTCTTGCAACATTTTCCTGTCATGTAGTGTCAAATCATGGTAGTGAAACCATAAACATGAGGCTCAAGATTCTTAGCTTTGGTCACTCCTGTGGCAGTCTCTCAGTACTTGCAGTGAGCAGGTCTGCTACGCAGCTTTTTGCTCTTATGTTTAAGAGCTTGCTGATTTTCTCTCAAAAAGGGGTTCTATAATCCCTCCAGGTGACCACGATTCATTAGAGCTGCCTCTTGTTTCAAACTTTCCTGGTGTGTTGGAGCAATACAGTAGGGACTTACTATTTAACCATGCTTTAGTGGTGACACTGAATCCCCAAATCAACCTTTCTTCTGTCCAGCTTAGAAAGTCTGAGCTCTGCAGTCCTCCTTGCCCTACACACCTTTAGTGTTTGATAGTCTGAATAAATCCTTGCCCTACAGCAGACTCATTATTATCAAGAGAACTGGGGGAGAGGAGGTGGAATAAGTAGGATAAGGCAAAGCCACAGTAATACAAAACATATGTAAATCAGGCTACGCGATACCATAATAAGGATGTAATGGAGGGGGAAAGAAAAAGAAAATGAGTCCTATTGTTGCTTCTGTAGCAAAAGCTAGCATCGATCTGAGGTGGTAAATCCACCTTTCTCAGGGCTGTGGAAAGGCAATTATATTCTGAAGCACAGTGTATTTCATGCCAAGACACTGCAAACATCCTCGCATCGATGGCGACAGTGAATCCCCAACTCTGTGACCATGGTTTGTCCAAGGCAGAAGGGCAGGGAGTGCTGTTTGGTTCCAGCCTGCCTCTTTCCAGGGGTCAAGGGTGCTCCACTGCCACCCACTGCCTGTCCATGGATGCTTGGCAAGTGAGTCTGGATGCCTTCACCATCTGTGTGAAATCCTTCCAACCATTTACATTAAACATTGATATCAGTAAAATGTAGGGCTCCTAACTGACCTGATATAGTCCATATGGAGTAGCTGTCACAGATAGTGACTGTCTTGACACTGATTAATCACTTCTTCTAGTCATGTATTTGTCCCTGGTTACTTGACACAGTTCTTCCCTAATAGCTTTTGAGTAGTTCTGGGGTATTCATACGACCTTGGCTTTGGGGAATAGCCCATCTGATGACACACATTACCTACTTCAGTGTAGGCTTGGCTGCTTCTCATCAAACTAACTTGGACACTAGCTTTTGTTGTTGGTGGTTTTTTGTTTTGTTTTGTTTTGTTTTTTCCTGTGTACTCCAGTATCTGTCCTTTTCTGCGATGGGAGACACCTTAGCTATGCTGGATTCTGTTTGGCTTAGGTGGCACCATTCGCAATGGGCTGGGGCTTGGTCTCTGCTATATAGTATGTAGAGACTGACTGATTCCACCTTCATGTTCCTACCTGTCACTTACAGTCACAGGCACGACAAGCAATCTGCATCACTGATGCTCCTTGCTTTGAAACTCGCAGTTAAATGATCTGTAACTAGAGTCAATCATTGCTCAGACAGACAGACAGCAGCAAAGCTGTCTGTACCTCAAACTAAATGCAAAGTTTCTCTCTCAGCCTGAATGTTGCTCTCGTCTTCAAAATCCAAGATCCAGAAGCAACAACAGTAGATCTACCAAGCTGATCTTCCATCAAGTGTGGGATTATTGCACCCACTTCATATGGGGAAGGAGCACAAGTGAGAGTGACAGGCATCAAGGCGCTCTCGTAAGGACTTGTTCTGATGATACCAGTTTCTCAACTCCTTCACCAGCTTTGATGAAGGGTGCGTGTGGTTCAGTGCTGTCTCTACCCAGTGTCTGCCAGGTCAGCCCAGGGGTTGCTGTGTGAGGCGGTGACTCACCAGTTCCAGGAAGCAATGTATTTGTGGAACTTGCAGCAAAATGATGTTAAAGCCATTTTCAGTTGTTTTTCTTTTTCCTCATTTTTCCTTGTGATTTATATCCATGACTCATGACCAAATAGTTGTTACAGATGGTCCTTTCACTTAAAATAAAACCTGGTTTGTTTAATCTTGAAATAGTTCTTGCCATGTTCCTTGGCCTTCATTTACAGAGAGACTTGGGGAACTGCTTAGGATGACTACTGGGGCAAATATATCCTCTCTTCTGGGTAGCAGCTGTTGATCTACATGTGATATTGAGTTAGCTGTGACCTTGAAATCACAGTAGATACAGACAGCCCTATCTGTTTTCATGGCTATCACCAGTTTTCTTGTCCAGGAGTTTTGCTAGCTTTTGTTTTTGGCTGGAGTTCACAAATTATTTTCTTTTAATATAAAAAAGTAGAAGATGTTTTGTCTGTCCAGCTACATAGAAGCCATCTTATGCTATGTAATGCCTTGCTTGAGGTCACAGAGGTTGAGTATACGCTGTCTGCTGTTGTCTTATTTATATTATAATAATGTTTAGGAGAACAAAGATTACTTGGGCATGTGTTTTTAGAAACACAGATTTTCTCTAACACCTCCTTTCTAAGAGATCTTCGATGAACCCACCAGTAAATTGCCAGCACAGTGAATCATGTTTCATTTTAGATGTTACTCTTGTCAGTTTAAAGGATGCCAAATAATACTTTTGTTT